GGTGGGTAGTGGGGGGCTTAAATACTCTCCCGGTGGCCTGCCAGAACAGGCCCCCAGAATAACGGGTCTAAAAATACTGCGGAGCTGTTAAGACCAGGCGGGCGAGTTCGGCCCCGCTGAGCGGACTGATGCCTGGGTTCACGTGTCAGCTGAAAGGTGGACGTTAGGACCGTCTCCTGGGGAGGCTGGCCTCCATTTCTGTGTTGATATTTCTGCAACACGGCACTGGAACACAAGTGTGAAATAGTGACAGTGTGTGTTTCGGGTTGTGTGTCGGCTGCACCTACAGTGGGCTTTAGCACAACGTTGCCTGGTAAAATATTTAACAAACTAAATCCAAGTCCAGAAAATTACCCGTCTTTTGTGCTCAGTTTACTCTTCAAATACTAACAGATAAATGAGTTTATATCCTTTTGTTTAAGAAGGAAAAACCAGAACGCTTGATGAAACTGACAAAGAATAATAAGAACAAAAATTACTAAAATAAACAACAAAAAATCTGATTTTGAAACTATTAAAACTGGTCTGGCCCAAAAGGATGACACCTTTAACCAGAGGGGCTTTATCACAATTCAATAWATCGATTTGTTTGGATGACGATACGTTTCTCAAGATCACAAAACCTATCGTGATTCAATTCAGTTCACGAGTCTGCGATTGATGTGATGCAACATGTTTATCTAACACAACCATTTGTGTTCATAACAACTAATGATTGTTAGATGGACATGTGTTGATACGAATCAATATTTTAATTTTGACTTGATGTAATAGAGTCGTCTGTCGATCGATATATCGTTAACACCCCTGCTCTTAACCATCAAGAATGCCTTGATAGTCTTGAGATTTCATTGAACCCGACACACATTTAAAGTATCTGTGACATGCAGGTCATACACAATGTCAAGGAAAACATCTTTATATTTAAGAAACTTGGCACAATACACACAATTTTACCCATTTTGTCACAAAACTGGCACATTTTCTTTTAAACTTGGCTCAGCCAAAATGAAACAGGAAGTGACATCAAAGGAGAACTCTTTAAGAAAAGGAACTCTCTGGTTTTCGTTTATTGAAACAACATTATTTGAACTTTGACTCTTCTTCATGCCTTTGATAATAACTCAAAATAATCTAATGAAACATCAGATTCTTCTCCACAATCTGAGTTCTGTTTACATGCAGGCATTCCCCTCTGACATCACTTCCTGTTAATTCACACGTAAATATCTCAACAACTGTTCATCTCAGCTACGTCAATATTTTTGCAATATATTATCGATTTTATTTTTTCAAAAATGAATTCATATTTATTACAAAAAATTGATGTCACAGATACTTTAAGACCCCATGTGTTGGATGTAGCAAAGCAGGCCCCCCGAGATGAACTGAGACTCGTGTTTTACTGTCGGTACGCGCTAACAACATATTTTATTTTGGTTTAAGAATAAAACACCAGTTTTTAGCTCAATATTTGGTTAAAAACTTTATTTTCAGGAAGTTATTTCAAAATGAAATAAAGAAAGTTAATCTTTAACAAACCGTTGACTCCGGTCGTAAACAGTAAATTTTAAGCAAATATCCATCCATCCATCCATCCATCCATCCATCCATCCATCCATCCATCCATCCATTTTCTTCCTCCTATCCGGGGTCGGGTCGCGGGGGCAGCAGCTTCAGAAGGGAGGCCCAGACCGCCCTCTCCCCAGCCACTTCTTCCAGCTCCTCCGGGGGAACTCCAAGGCGTTCCCAGGCCAGCCGAGAGACATAGTC